TGTGTGTGTGTGTGTGTGAGTATGTGTGTGTGAGTGAGTGTGTGTGTGTTCAGCTGCTCTATTGTGTGTGTCTGCTGTCTCCAGCACTATCCAGGGCTCAGGCCTGCAGTCCAGACACTTCCTGTATGTCAGCGACGTCACAGACGCCTTCCTGACACTCATGGAGAAGGGCATTCTGGGAGAGATCTACAACATCGGGAGCAGCTTTGAGATTCCCATCATTCAGCTCGCCAGAGAACTAGTGAAGGTGGTAGGAGTCACATGACCAGCTCAGTGTTAGATTAACCGTTCATAATCAGAGTATTTCACAATCAACTGTTTCCTGTCGACAGAAAGTGAAGGATGTCCCCGAGGAAGCGCTGGTGGACTGGATAGAGTTTGTTGAGGACCGGTGTGTGATGAATGTGTGCTGTCATACTGTATGTTTGAGATTGATATTAATAAATGAATGTTCATAACATTTCTGCAGTCCCGTGACGGAGCTCCGGTATCCCATGATATCAGACAAACTGCACAAACTCGGCTGGAGACCCAAAGTAACCTGGAAGGAAGGAATCAGACGGACCAGTAAGAGATTCCAGATGATTCTGTGAGTGATGATGATGATGAAGAAGAATATGACGTGTTGTTTGGTTGTTTGCAGTACAGTGGTATGAAGAGAATCCAAACTACTGGCCGTCGATCAGTGAGAATGAAGAGGAAGTCGTGTGATCGTGTGATCAGACGCCGTCACATGCTGTGCCTTATCACGTCAGATAATGACGTTTATTAACTGATTTATACAGTATCTATGCAAGATTGTCCAGCAGCTCCTAAATAAAGTGCTACTCGGTGAATGTGATGGAGGATTGTTAGAGACTTTATACTCTAAACATCATCATAAAATGCCACAGGATTAAAGAGGACCAAAAGATATTTTAATGGAAACTGTATGTCTTAAACTGACACAAGCTCAGTTGTTTTGACTGATTTCAGTATTTGATTATGAAAACTCTTCATTTGTACGATTGTTTCTGATCATTTTTATGTTTTAATAAAACAGTTTACAAACATGCTTGTGATAAAGTTCTGTTGTTAATGCGCTGCATGAGATGAGACTTTGGATCTTCGGTCTAATGCAATACAGAAATTTCAAAGTTAAGGCATGACCATTGGTCAGCAAAAGGCTCATTGGGTGAGCGGGGTCAGAAAAAACAGATGGAGAAGAAAAGAGCATGTTAATGAATAATTAATGTGAGGAATTAAGTGTGAAACCATCAGGAACCTTGTAGTCTCCAGTGCCACTATTTTACTGCAACCTTGAGTCTCCAGAATTGCAAGGTGTCAGGTTCTCAGAGACTTTTCTTGGGTAAAAAATCCTAAAAAATTACCCTCACTTAATAAGAAGAACATTCTGAAGTGTTGTGAAATACATGAAGACTATTTGTTTAAAATGTTCATAACTAGTTTAAAATGTTCATAAAATATTTTCAAGAAATGTGTGTGTGTGTGTGTGAGTGAATGAGTGAGTGAGTGAGTGCGTGTGTGTGTGAGTGAGTGAGTGCATGTGTGTGTGTGTGTTTGTACACGTGTGTGTGTGTGTGAGTGTGTGAGTATGTGTGAGCGAGTGAATATGTGTGAGTGTGTGTATGTGAGTTTGTGCGTGTGTGTGTGTGTGTGTGTGAGTATGTGTGTGTGAGTGAGTGTGTGTGTGTTCAGCTGCTCTATTGTGTGTGTCTGCTGTCTCCAGCACTATCCAGGGCTCAGGCCTGCAGTCCAGACACTTCCTGTATGTCAGCGACGTCACAGACGCCTTCCTGACACTCATGGAGAAGGGCATTCTGGGAGAGATCTACAACATCGGGAGCAGCTTTGAGATTCCCATCATTCAGCTCGCCAGAGAACTAGTGAAGGTGGTAGGAGTCACATGACCAGCTCAGTGTTAGATTAACCGTTCATAATCAGAGTATTTCACAATCAACTGTTTCCTGTCGACAGAAAGTGAAGGATGTCCCCGAGGAAGCGCTGGTGGACTGGATAGAGTTTGTTGAGGACCGGTGTGTGATGAATGTGTGCTGTCATACTGTATGTTTGAGATTGATATTAATAAATGAATGTTCATAACATTTCTGCAGTCCCGTGACGGAGCTCCGGTATCCCATGATATCAGACAAACTGCACAAACTCGGCTGGAGACCCAAAGTAACCTGGAAGGAAGGAATCAGACGGACCAGTAAGAGATTCCAGATGATTCTGTGAGTGATGATGATGATGAAGAAGAATATGACGTGTGTCTCTGTTGTTTGCAGTACAGTGGTATGAAGAGAATCCAAACTACTGGCCGTCGATCAGTGAGAATGAAGAGGAATCGCCAGCGTCGTGTGATCAGACGCCGTCACATGCTGTGCCTTATCACGTCAGATAATGACGTTTATTAACTGATTTATACAGTATCTATGCAAGATTGTCCAGCAGCTCCTAAATAAAGTGCTACTCGGTGAATGTGATGGAGGATTGTTAGAGACTTTATACTCTAAACATCATCATAAAATGCCACAGGATTAAAGAGGACCAAAAGATATTTTAATGGAAACTGTATGTCTTAAACTGACACAAGCTCAGTTGTTTTGACTGATTTCAGTATTTGATTACGAAAACTCTTCATTTGTACGATTGTTTCTGATCATTTTTATGTTTTAATAAAACAGTTTACAAACATGCTTGTGATAAAGTTCTGTTGTTAATGCGCTGCATGAGATGAGACTTTGGATCTTCGGTCTAATGCAATACAGAAATTTCAAAGTTAAGGCATGACCATTGGTCAGCAAAAGGCTCATTGGGTCAGCGGGGTCAGAAAAAACTGATGGAGAAGAAAAGAGCATGTTAACTGCAAAATAATGAATAATTAATGTGAGGAATTAAGTGTGAAACCATCAGGAACCTTGTAGTCTCCAGTGCCACTATTTTACTGCAACCTTGAGTCTCCAGAATTGCAAGGTGTCAGGTTCTCAGAGACTTTTCTTGGGTAAAAAATCCTAAAAAAGTACCCTCACTTAATAAGAAGAACATTCTGAAGTGTTGTGAAATACATGAAGACTATTTGTATAGGCTTTATAGACAGATAAGTTGAGAGTGACTCTTGAAGGACCAGCACCACATCCTCTTGTACCGCTGTCTGAAGAATCGATCTTCCAGAATCTGCCGGTCCGTTTTAGGAGCTCATTTTTGTCAGTCTCTGCAAGACACACTTCTCAGGACAGGAGACGGACTAAAAATGAGCTCCCAAAACTTACTGAGCTAAGGAGCAAATGTAGAACTTGAAAAATTGGAAAAACAGCTTAGTGAAAAGCGTTTACAGTTTAAAAGCAAATAGAAAGTCCTATTTTTTTCTTTCTTTTCTTTATATATATATTTTTTGCAGATTTGCACATGTACAAGTTTAAAATGTTCATAAAATATTTTCAAGAAATACTGACGTTTTGAGCAGCTGCATGTTTGAGCTGCACTCCTCTAGGTCAAAGATGAAAAAATGGGATTTACAATAAAAAGTAATTTACTAAATTATTTTGACTTGAGTTTATTTATTAATGAGTAATGTCTCTTTTGAGTAAATGTGCAAAATTTGAATGTTAACAGGTTTTACCATGTTATTACAACATTTAACCACTTTTTATTAATTTAATAATTCTTTCAAATTTAAATCTTGTACAAGAACTACAGCAAAAATCAGTTTGATGCATATTTTATCAATATTTTAGAAATTTGATTTTATCACCAGTACCGACTTCAATGGATTTCATTAAATTCCTTTGAACACGACTGCTCAAAACGGTCTCAATTTATGAAACCTACACATTCAAAACATTATTACTCTGAAATGTTTAATGTAAATGTTAAGTGTAAGTGAAATGTTAAGTACTGTAAGGTCTTTCATGACACTACATATGCTGGGGTGTGAATTTGTTAGGTGCTTGATATAAAATAAATGGTGCTTTAAAAAGTCCTTGAATCTGGTGTTCATGAAAGAGTGGGAACCCTGTATTATGTACCTGGTTAGTTAGTATCATGTACCCAGTGAACTGTTCAGTTAGTTAGTATTATATACCTGGTTAACTGTTCAGTTAGTATGCTCGTGTGTTTAGTTCACTGTTGATATAGTTGTTATATGAAGCAGTGAGTTCTATAATAATTTCTCGGTTTGACCTCATGTGATTTCTCTCAGGTCATCTTCATCATTATCCTCATCCTCGTGGCTGGTGGGGTTCAGCGCAGCATCACTGGGGTAGATTGGTAAATGCAGACATTATTCCTGTATGAGTGTTGATCTGCAGTCCTGTATGATGAGGTTTGATGCGTGTGTTTGAGCAGAAGCAGCAGAAAGAGCCCGGGTTCAGTCATTTCTGTGACACGTGTGACCGAGGCTTCAAAACCCAAGACAAATATGATGAACACATCTCGCAGCACGTGAAGGTGAGCCTCTGCAGCTCGTTCATATGAAGCTTCTGCTCGTTCTGTGTGTCTGCAGTGCTCTGTTGAAGACTGTCTCTTCACTGCACACGAGAAGCTGGTGAAGATCCACTGGAGAAACGTGAGTGTCTTGAAGTGTCCACAATAATTATCAGAGCCCATCCTGGACTTCTGGGGGCCCTAAGCAAAACTATGTCTGTCTGTGGGAATTAAAAATCCCCAAATGCTCCTCAACCCCTTAACCTATTCTTTCAGAGCAGTTTCACTGTCAACAAACAACAGTGAGTTAAAGTCAGTAACACAAAAAAGGAAGCAAATTACAAACAATAGGACAAATAAACAATTGAGCCTTTATTAGTATACTACACAGAAACTGATTAAAGTAGGAAATGTAAAAATTAGGGCTGTCAAAATTAACACGTTAATGGAACAGATCTTTACAGAAACAGTGAAATATAACAATGAAAACAGTTTTATTGAGAATTTGGCTGCATCAAAATACAGTATGTGAGCACAGAGAGGCAAACAAATGCAATAATAAATGTATATTTTGCATGTTCAGAAGAAGTGAGCTGCCCTGTCCTGATCATAATCTAAACAGGCTTGTGTAAGTACACTTCTCAGTGCTAAGAAAGAGAAGTAATGGGAACCTGGTATTTCTAAGAGTGATGGGAGAAAAGAACCTTTTCAAAGCTTCGATTCAATTGAACCGATTGCTTCGCTAAATGATTCACTGTTTCTGTTTGACTCCTGCTGGTCAAAACTGTAAACTCAACAAAAACTCAGGCTAAAACATGCATAAAAACTGCTTTTTACAAATCCAATGCAAATGCTTTCTTGAAAGTGTAATATATTAAATGCAGTCAAAATAATAAAATACCATGAAATATGAAGTGTCTGTATAATATGTGTTTTTCAAATAATTATGATTAATTTGCAAGGCTTGTTTTGTTTGTTTTATGGAGAGCCTGAACTACAACTCATTCTTTTAATTACACAAATGTCTCGTTAAAAATGTCTACAAACTGATTAAACTGATCTGAGATCAGAGACGATCAATGGTTCGTCTTCATGCTCTGTTGAGTATGTTTCACTAATAATAAACATACATTTGTATAAAGCATCCATATTTGTCCATGCCCATGTTGATTAGTGTGTTAAAACTAGAAAAGTATTAATTTAAGGTACATTTAGAACAGATACAAATGTGTGATTAAGTTGCGATTAATCACTAGTTAACTCATAATAATCATGCGATTAATCGCGATTGAATATGTGTCCCTGCAGCACAAAAGCAGTGTTAAGTCGCTGGGGGATATTTGTAGCAATAGCCAACAATACATTGTATGGGTCACAATTATACATTTCTCTTTTATGCCAAAAATCATTAGGATATTAAGTAAAGATCATGTTCCATGAAGATATTTTGTAAATGTCCTACCATAAATATATCAAAACTTAATGTTTGATTAGTAATATGCATTGCTAAGAACTTCATTTGAACAACTTTAAAGATGATTTTCTCAATATTTAGATTTTTTTGCACCCTCAGATTCCAGATTTCCAAATAGTTCAAATATTGTGCTATCCTAACAAACCATACATCAATGGAAAGCTATTTATTCAGCTTTCAGATGATGCATACATCTCAATTTCAGTAAATTGACACTTAAGACTGGTTTTGTGCTCCAGGGACACACATGTTAATCGATTGACAGCCCAACTAAAAATAAAGCACTGCAAAGACTTCACCATATAAATGAAACATAAACTGATTCATAACAAAATTTATGAATGGAGCAGTGAATAATTCTCTGCTTTTCTTTTGTTGTTTGATTAATGACAGACAGCAGCAGGTTTATACACAGAATGCACAGATCTAATATACTGACTAGCTTTCGATTACTTTTCAACCTGTGTACATAACTGACTGTGTTTAGTGAAAACTCACCAAGATTGATATTTGGACACATGCAAAGCACAAAAGTAGCCTTTATTTGTCCGTGCTTCGCTCTGTCTCGTATCACGCACGCAGTACGTTTTTTGTTGTTTTCTTGTTTTTTAGTATTGAGCAAGAACAGCAGGAGACTGTATACTTTGGATATTACGTAGAAAGAGCGACAGCGCACCGCATTACAAGAAAGGAACATTCATGCAAAATCAAAAACTAAACTAAAATTAAATCATCTTTGAGAGCAAGGGGGCCCCCTGGTGTTTCAGGGCCCTACACAACATGCATACTTTACATATAGGGAGGATCGGCTCTGACAGCAATGATAATGAGACAGAGCAACAATCACTGGAATCACTTTCAGACAACAATACATTGTATGGGTCACAATTATACATTTCTCTTTTATGCCAAAAATCATTAGGATATTAAGTAAAGATCATGTTCCATGAAGATAGTTTGTAAGTGTCCTACCGTAAATATATCACAACTTAATGTTTGATTAGTAATATGCATTGCTAAGAACTTCATTTGAACAACTTTAAAGATGATTTTCTCAATATTTAGATTTTTTTGCACCCTCAGATTCCAGATTTTCAAATAGTTCAAATATTGTCCTATCCTAACAAACCGTACATCAATAGAAAGCTCATTTATTCAGCTTTCAGATGATGCATACATCTCAATTTCACAAAATTGACCCTTATGACTGGTTTTGTGCTCCAGGGTCACACATGTTAATCGATTGACAGCCCAACTAAAAATAAAGCACTGCAAAGACTTCACCATATAAATGAAACATAAACTGATTCATAACAAAATTTATGAACGGAGCAGTGAATAATTCTCTGCTTTTCTTTTGTTGTTTGATTAATGACAGACAGCAGCAGGTTTATACACAGAATGCACAGATCTAATATACTGACTAGCTTTCGATTACTTTTCAACCTGTGTACATAACTGACTGTGTTTAGTGAAAACTCACCAAGATTGATATTTGGACACATGCAAAGCACAAAAGTAGCCTTTATTTGTCCGTGCTTCGCTCTGTCTCGTATCACGCACGCAGTACGTTTTTTGTTGTTTTCTTGTTTTTTAGTATTGAGCAAGAACAGCAGGAGACTGTATACTTTGGATATTACGTAGAAAGAGCGACAGCGCACCGCATTACAAGAAAGGAACATTCATGCAAAATCAAAAACTAAACTAAAATTAAATCATCTTTGAGAGCAAGGGGGCCCCCTGGTGTTTCAGGGCCCTACACAACATGCATACTTTACATATAGGGAGGATCGGCTCTGACAGCAATGATAATGAGACAGAGAAACAATCACTGGAATCACTTTCAG